ATTGGCAGCGTCATGATAGATAGTGAATAGATTGAGATTGTTTACAGCTTTAGTTTGTTGGCTTTACAATCAACATTCTTGACACCAGTAGCCAGGAAATGAAAAGACATATTGCATTGGGAAAGTCTGCTGTCAGAGAGACCTTTCCAGCTTACTGAAGAGCAACTACATCAGGCTGGAGACTAAGGTGAGCCTGATTCGGGCCATAGTCTTTGCAATTGCTGCTATGCCTCGGAGAGCTGGACAGTGACTAGGGAATTCTGAGAACTGATGCCTTTGAGCTGTGGTGCTGGAGAAGAGTGTTGAATATACCATGGACTGCTAGGAGAACAAACAGTTTTCACCTTGAGAGGGTTAAACCAGGCTGCTCCTTGGAGGCAAGGATACTGAAGCTTCATCTGACATACTTTGGATGTGTTGCAAGGAAGGACCAGTCCTTCTTGGAGAACTGCTTGGAGGGACGTCATGCTTGGGACACAGGAGAGGAAGACCCTCGATGGCAGATTGATTGATTCAGTGACTGGGGTAATAGGGGTAGGTGTGTCAGAGACAATAAGACAACAGGATAGAGCAGAGTTTAAGGTCGTTGTACATAGGGCCGCTATGAGTCACGGATGACTGGATGACTCGCTGGCACATAACAACAACAACAACAACAACAACAAATTACTTCGGAGGAGATTGTCATCTTTCTCCTGATTCTGTAACAGGGTGGGTACTACTAATCCAGTTTGACTTTGAGGAGTCAGGTAAGTATAGAGGGAGACAGTTATGTGATGACAGAGGCAGAGTCTCAAGTGACGCTGCTACAAAACCAAGGTTCATCTAGGGCTACCAGAAGCTGGAAGAGACAGGAAGAATCTTTCCCTAGGCCTGACAGAGAGAGTCTGGTCCCCCTGATCCCCTGAATTCAAAGTTCTAGCCCCTAGGACCCTAAAAGAATCAGTATTTTTATTTTAAAACCACTGTTTGGGAGAGTACTAGGGGCCTAGCTGTGCTGCAATCCTAAAAGCCACCGTTTAAAACAAACAAACAAACAAACAAACAAACACATACACCACTGTCACTCATAATAAGTTATAGCAGCCAGAGGAAACCTCATTAGAGGGGTCTTCATAAAAGACTTCCATCACTTTCTAGCTTCTTTACCCTACTTTCTTTTTCTTTGTAGCTCTTAGCATCTTCTCATATATATTTATTTGCTATTTTTTAATCCCATCAGGAGAGGGTAAATCCTATGACTTCTGTGAAGGCAAGCACTTGGTCTGACGTTTACGTCTACGTCCTCGGTGCCTGGAACCAAGCCTGCACTTAGAGGCAGATCAGAGAATATTTACAGAAGGAATGAGCAGAACAGTTCATAGCAGAGCAGGAGCTCACACCTAGGAGTCTGGTTCACTTTTCCACACAGCAGGTACTCTTCCCACATCACTGACTCAGCATTTAGTTAGACTCTGTCTCCAGTGAGACCAGCTGCCTCTGAGTCAATTCCGATTCACGGCGACCTCATGGTTTCAGAGTAGAACTATGTTCTGTGCTAAAGGGTTGGGCTTTTTTTAAAAAAAAAACAACCCAAAACCAAAACCAAAGCCAGCCCTTTTATTGTGTTTAAGGCGAAAGTCCACAGAGCAAATCATGTTCTCATTTAACAATTTCAACACAAATTATTCAGTGATATTGGTTATATACCCCCCACTCATGTGCCATTCTAATTCATTCTGTTCTAGTTACGTCATTTCCAACTCCACAGGGTTTCAATCACAGAAAAAGACAGGCTATCTTCTCTTAGAAGACTTGTTGTTGTTGTTGTTATGTGCGTCGAGTCGTTTGCGACTCATAGCGACCCTATGTACAACAGCCCTAAACCCTGCTCTATCCTGTGCCAATCTCATTGCCTCTGACACACCCATCCTGATTACCCCAGTCACTGAATCAATCCACCTCATAGAGGGTCTTCCCCTTCTGTGCTGTCCCTCCACCCTCCCAAGCATGATGTCCCTCTCCAAAGACCTGTCTCTCCTTGCAACATGTCCAAAGTATGTCAGACGAAGTCCCAGAATCTTTGCCTCCAAGGAGTACAAGGAGTAGCCTGGTTTAACCCTCTCTAGGATGAATCGCACACCCTTAGAAGATTTACACTGTCTGAAAGCCAGCTAGAGAGTCAACGATGAGTCGATTCCAACTCTATGGCAATGAATTGTGGGTTTCAGTGACGGATGTTTTGGTAGTAGTTTGCAAGAATTTCTTCCAAGCAACTCTAGGTGGTCTTGAATAACTAATCTTTCTGTTAGTGACCAGGCTTGTTAGCTGTTGCATGATCCAGAGATTCCTGTCTCTTATCAAGTTTGTAGTTTTCTCCTGTTTGGAGCCCTGGTGCACAGTGGTTAAAGCACACAGCTGATAACAGACAGGTTAATCATTTGAACCCACCAACTGCTCCTCAGGAGAAAGATGTAGCTGTCTGCTTTCCTAAGGGTATGCAGGCTTGGGAACCCTGTGGCTGGTTCTCCTCCATCCTACGGGGCACTGAGTTGGAATGGACTCCACGGCAGTGGGCTTTTTTTTGGCTTTGCTTTCTCTGATTGCTTCCCTCACTTTGAATACAACGGCTGTGTGGGTGACCGTGCTGGGGAGAAGAGGTGACTGGGGGCGGGGGACATCTGCAAGAATGGGAAAGGAAAAGCCCTCTTTTCAGCTTTGTCAGAAAACTTACCCTTTCAAGATTGAAGGAGAAGCAAAGGAGGGCAGAGCCCTCTGATGGAAGGAAGAGTGAAGAAGGGAAGATGACGTCACCAGAGGCTCAAAGCAGCCGCCGCCTCATGGTAAGAAGGAAGAGCATCTATCTGCAGGAGCAGGAGAAGTGGCCTGTGGTTTGCCCTCCTCCAAAAGATCCCTGGAAGGAGCATTTGCTTTCCTGCCACACGGCCTCTAAGATCAAGCCTGGGCTGAGGGCTGGAACCAGAACCCAAATGCTTCACTGTTTCAGAAGGGACTTTAAAAACCACCCTGCTTCTTCAAATTAGTGATGGTTATTGCTGGCCTTTCAGTGGGCAGCCCAACACTTAACCCACTATGTCACCAGGGCTTCCAAGGGCGGTAGAATAATTTGGGAAAAGATAGTTAGACTGGTTGTATGACTTAAAGCATGTAACTAAGATCACAAACTCGTACACGTAGAACTTGTTGAGTTGTATGTATTTTTATACCACACACATATCCCTCAAAAAAAAACAACAAACCCAAACAAACCCAAAGTTTAAAAAATATTTCTATTTCTTCACACACATGACTTAAAAATCAGCTTTTGAGCTCCAGAGCAGATGGTCAGAAGAACTACCGTCAGCATCCTAGTCCAACATACCCCAGATCACTCAAAACTACTCTACTTTTCTGCCCTGTGTGGGAGTCTGTTCCTTTCTCAGTTCTCCCCACGTCCCTGCTCCTGTCATCCTTGCCCAACAGTCCAGCTAAGTCAACTAGGCCATTAATAGTCACAGTCATAGAGGTTAGAGTGAGATTTCCCTTCCACTGTTAAATGGATCCAAGTGAGGTCCATGCATGAGATTGTTGAGATGGTTAAAGATCAAAACATCGTGATGTGCAGATACTGTGTCTCTATGACTCTCGAACACCCTAGCCAATGAAATTCCTAACTGACTTAATTATAATCTGTATATATCATTAATCTGTGCTGGTTCTGGGACCATCTATCTGGTCTCCACTAGATGTGAAACTCTGGCTCCTTTACAGGAGGGCTCACACCTTATTCATTTACATCTCCATTGCGTTGAACTAAATGTTTTCGTTTTCATACTAGAAGGGGCCTGGATCACTTTTGGAGGAACTGAGAATGCTTTGAAGAAGTGTGTAGAGCTGGGAGAAGTCACTGGGATGGGAAGGAAATAAAAGATCAGTCTCCAGAGAGGCAAGGAGGCCAGGCCTCTTCTGTGGAGGAGATAAGGACTCAATACACACTGTGATTCCTGGAACACTCAAGTGAACAGGGAATTTAGAGAGGGGTTGGTTCAGGTCTTCAGCCCAGTGGTCACTACTGGTACCACCTCTCCACAGGCCCTCTGGGAACATGGTGTTATTTGAATATAGCTGAGGGGCTAAGGCTCTGGTGTTTTCCCTTATTTCCTAACAATTTATCACCACTAGTTGTTCCTCAGGGAGCGCTGGTGGCTTTGTGGGAAGGAGTTGCATCGCCAACCCAAAAGAATCCTTCAGCTGCTCTGTGGAATCTCCTCCCATGCAATTTACTGCCTCTGACAACTCTCCAGAGGGTCAGCTATGTGTCAGTTCCAGCTTGAAGGTACATAACATAACAACAGCTCCTCTTCACTCACCCTTTCCACACACTGGCCTCAACCAAGACTTCAGCAGGGATTCTCAAGTCTGAAGAGGAGACCCATGAAGACCAGCCAGGCGCCAGCACTGCCAAGTCCACTGGCAGCCTGTCCTGGGCCTGCAGGTCACCTGAAGGAAGCTGTGGCTGGATGTTGGGGGAAGGGGGTGGGAGGGAGACTTGACTCCTTTCCCTATTTCAGGCTGGAACTCTGCCTCCTTGGGGTTTTGTTTGTTGACTTGTTTTTAGGGAAAGAGGAAGAGGCCTCCCTCACAATAAGATTCCCTAAGGCTTACACATCTCCCTTTTATACTGGCCCCAGCTGGAAGGAGGATAGTGATTCAAGACAGCTAATTGCTCATTAAAGAGAGTTTATGAGATTCCTGTAGCCCCCATCCCTGCCTAGACCAGCAAGGTTTCTCTCTATCTCTGTTCTAGCTGGTGAAGGGATTGGTCTATCTCTCTCCAGCCATCCTCAGCCTTCCACCTGGCACCAGCTTCTTGGTAGGGCCCAGTGGACTGACTCTAGCCCCTACCCAGCCAGTAGTTTCTGGACATGTGGAGGCTTTTGGTAACCAACATGCTTCATCCTCCCCAGATTGTTCTCCTGCTCACCTCTATTCTGTCCACCCCACCCTGCCCATTCACTCACAACTTCTCCAGCAGGGAGAGTCCCAAGAAAGATGCATTCCGGAGCCCCGTAATCTTGTTGTTGCTCAAGAGCCTGGAGGGGTAGAGAGAACACAGACAGGAGAAGGTGCTGTTAAAGGCTGGGCAGTACAGAGGGCAAGAGAAGCTGATTCTCCCCGCCCCACTCCACCAAGAGCCACACTCCATTCCACGTAAGTGGTTCCCCCTGGGGTTGTGCAATGTCCTGCATCTCTGTCTGCTCTAGGGCATTGCAGAGAGGACCAGGGAATGACCAGGGTCAACTGAGCAAACCCCCATACATACACACCCTGCACCAGATAGTTCATCGGTCTTGAGTTTCTCCGCGCCCTGGTTCTGACTTGGAGCTCACTGGTGGATAGAGCAGGGAGTGAAGTTCTGATGTCACCCTTTCCATCCTGGAACTACAGGGCCCCAACTGGCCTTTTCACAACCTCTGAAATTCTCTTTGCCCTCAACCTAACCTGTGAGGATAGAGAAGATGGAGCATTCTGGGCTTGAACTGGGTCAGAGCTGTGGCTTCGGATGAGACAGGAAGCCCAGCGGCAGGCAAGGAAAGCTGCCTTTCCTTGGAGGCTCCATACTTTCTCCTTCGAGCTTAGGGTCTCAGTGGATGGTGACTACCTGGAGTCCCCCAGGTAGAAAGAAGGCTGTTTGTTATCCTTGCCTCCCCAAGCCTGTCTAGAGCCTTGCCAGAGGAAGCCTAGGCCCCAGGCTTTGCCTTTGCCCCCTCAGAGTCCTGTTTATTTATTCATTTGTATTTAGGGGAGGAGGGAAGAGGCCTCAAGCAGACAGATCTCTGCCCACCCACTCAGCCTTTCCCTGCCAGATTCCCTGCTGGGAGGAGGGGAGTTCCAGGCCCAAAGGGCTCATCCTTCCAGTTAATTGCTTATTTAAAAGCTTTAATGAGTCTCAGCCCAAGCTCTTCTAGCCCAGAGCATAAGCAAAGGGCTTCCCTTCTTTTCTCTGTTTTTACTGGAACACTGGCCTGGGAAACCAGAGGTGTGGACCTCAGACCTCTTCTCCAGTGGGCAGCCTCTAGGCTAGACTAGAAGGGGGAGAGAAGAGGGGAGAGGGACCAGCAGGAGAGGAGATTTGCTTCACCCAGCAATTCCACTCCTAGGTATAGGGCCAAGCAGATACTTGTACAAGAACGTGCGTGGCAGCACCATTCACAAAGGTCTCAAGATGAAAATCACCCAAGAGCCCACCACTGGATGAATGGATAAATAAAATGTAGCATATGTTCTGCATGCAATGAAATATTGTCATTGTTAGATGCTGTCGTGTGGGCTCCAACTCACAGACACTCTGTGGATAATAGAACAAACCCCTGCCAGATACAGTGCCATCGTCACAGCCTTTGCTGTGCTTAGCCATTGGCTGTAGTCACTGTGTCAACTGCTTTCACTAAGGGTCAACCCTCCACTTTGCCAAGCGTGGTGTCCTTTGCGAGGGACTGGCCCGTCCTCATAACATGCTCCAATTAAGGTGATATCTCATCATCCTTATCTCTAAGGAACATCCTGGCTGTTTTTCATCCAAGACAGGCTTATTTATTCTTTTTTTTTTAATGAATTTTAATGAGAGTATACAGAGACTTATGGTTTCCAATCATTCATTATTGCACTTTCCTCCCTGCCCACCCCCTTCCACCTTATTTCTTCTTTTGGTCATTTATGGTATATCCAATATTCTTTATTAACATCACCATTCAAAGCCATAAAGTCTTACTCAGTCTTAAAGAGTTATGAACTTCGGAGCCATGCTGCAAAACATGATGCTAACACAGAAGGACCAATATTGTATGATCTCACTTACATGAGAGCTCTGGTGGCCTGGTGGTAAGAAGCTGCGCTGCAAATCTAAAAGCACAGAGTTCAAATCCATTCTGAGGGAGAAGGATGGGCAATCTCTTCTTGTGCAATTAACTGCCTCTCAAAACACACTGGAGGGTCAGCTAGGGGTCAAGTCTAGCTTGACAGCACACAACAACAGCATTTATATGAAATTTCGGCTGCTGTTGTTGTTAGGTACCACTGAGTCTATTATGACTCATAGTGACCCTACGAACATCATCTTCACAATCTCTGATATACTAGAATAGGAAAATGTACAGAGACAGAAGTTGATAAGTTACTAAGGTCTGGGAGGAGGGGGAAGGGGAGTTACTTCTTCAGTGGCACTATCATGGACTGAATGGTCTCCTCAACATGAGTGAATAGAATGGTATAATGTGGAGTCAGTGTAAAGATCCAAATGGTTGTAAAAAGATTGTGAGTGGAATGCAACCCTCCCTAATCCCATCACAACTCTAATTGGTGGTAAAAGGAGTTTCCCTATGGCGTGGCCTTTAATACCGTTTATCTCCACAGAGATAAAAGGAGAGAATATGCAGCTGAGAGAGGGGTTCTCAGAACCACTAAGAAATAATTAGCAGGAGTCGAGTAGACCTTTGGCCTTTCATGATGAAGCTCTCAGCCGCTGGGGAAAGCCAGATCACATGAGGTTTCCAGGCGAAGACAGACCTACAGAAGCTGAGGGAAATAAGGACTTTCTTCCCCTAGGTCTGGAACCCTGAATCTAGCCCCCTAGACTGTACGAGAATACATTCCAGTTTGTTAAAGCTGTTAGTGTTAGTTCTCTTATAGCAGCATTAGATAACTAAGATAGACATTGAGTTTCTGTTTGCCGTGGTGACAAAACTATTAGAAGAGGTTAGTGTTGATGGCTGTACCAACATGGTAAATGCAATTAATGTTATAAAACGGCACACTTAAAAGTCGTTAAAATGAGACATATTTTACCACCAAAGGGAGCGAGAAGGAGATCCGTGCCAAGACAGGCTGTAAGAGCGGCAGGGATGTCAGAGTCCATCTTTAAGGGGTTTGTGAGGAGCAGATAGTGGGCAGGATGGAGGCAAGAGGAGAAAAGGGCCTTTGACTTTCTGGGTCAGTGGGAATGGGTGGAGACTTAATCTCCTTCCTCCCTTTCTCTCCTCTCCAGTTAGACTCCTTCCTGTCCACTCTTCCTGTCACTGCCTAATGGCCCCTCAACGGTGACATTTCCCAGCAGGGCCTGAGGGTGACAATGAGAAAGGGCTCTGAGAGAATGTTGGGTTTCCAAAACTCTTCAGATACACCTATAGTATTTATCTTGATATTTCAAATATACATCAGATAGTCATGAAAGAGGAACCCTGGTGGCACAGTGACTAAGCACTTAGCTAGTAACTGAATCTTCAGTGATTCAAATCCACTATCAGCTCCTTGGGAGAATGTGGCAGTCTGCTTCCATACACACTGGAGACCAATGAATTGATATCACCTTGATAGCAATGGGCATTTGCAGCCATTGGTGGTGTTTTTTTTTTTTAAAAGGACATTTTATGAGTTTCCTTATCTCATTTTATGGATTAGGATTGCTCTATTTTATGTTATATATGGGGTGATGGTGTTTGTGTTAAACAGTAATCTTCTCAGTTCTTAGGACCTATTGAGGTTTCATTTAGGTCCAGGTGGGGCTAGGGTGACCACCTCAGTGGTAATGAATTTTCAATGGCTGTTTGACTTTAAGTCAAAGCCGATCTCACTTGGTCCCAATTTTGTTCTGTCTCTCCTTTGTGTCTGAGACTTGAAGGTGGCCTTAAATGTCTGTGAAGAGGAGAGGACCCCTCACCACCTTTCACAATGTCGAGGATGGGTAGGGAAAGAGGAGCCGTTTCAGTGCCCTGTCTTTGATCACCCAAGGTTCTCTTCAGGGAATTGTTCCTTCATAGGTTAAGGGTGAGAAAAGACTGTAAATGCTGGCGACCTGGTACATGTGAGAGAACATGAGAGTAAGAAAAGGACAGAGAAGCTGGGCTGTCAGAGATGATGGCCCCAATTCCTGAGGTGGGAGCTGGAAATGTTACTTGTCCAACTTGAACAATGTGTGGACCTGGGTGAATGAAAGGGAAAAGAATGTATCGTATTTCCTGGGGATATATCTGAACTATAGTGTATAATGAAATAATACATAATGATGAACATAATGAAACCATGGAATGTGCAAAAAGGAAAAGCATGCTCAGTATTCATCAAACTGAAAGAACTGAAGAAAAAAAAATTCAAACCTTGAGCTGCAATACTGAAGAGTTCTGTGAGCAAAGTAATGAATGACACAGACAGCATTAAAAGAAGGTGGATCAAGAAGAACTGGCTGACATGAAATCATTTAAGGATGTAACATACAATCGAGAGTAATCGAAGCTGCACTGAAGGAGTTGGGGGCAGTGTGTATCTGTGGGTGTGCTCCAGGAAATGACTAAAGACCAGTGAGGATGCAACACTGGAAGTTCTCACTCACCTACACCATGAAATTTAGAAGACAACTTCTTGGCCACAGTATTCACGTACATTCCAAAAAAAGGTGATACAACAAAATGCATAAATTACAGAACAATATCATCAATAGTAGATGCAAGTAAAATTATGCTGAAGATAAGTCAAACATGGTTACAGCAGTTCTTCAGTAGGGAACTAGCAGAAATTCAAGCTAGACTCAGTAGAGGGCATAGAATGAGGGATATCATTGCTGATGGATTGTGACTGAAAAGAAAGAATACCAGAAAGACGTTTGCTAGTGTTTAACTGATGAGGTGAACACATTCAGCTGTGTGGATCAGAACAAACAAACTATGGCTAGCCTATAAAGAATGAGAATTCCAGAACATTTAACCATGCTCATTCAGAACCTGTACATAGAGGAAGAGGCAGTTGTTTGAACAGAACAAGGACATACTGTATAGTTTAAAATTAGGAAAGTTGTACATCAATGTTGTTTCCATTCCTTACAATTATTATATCTGTATCTTTACAATAATCTGAGAAACTGGGTTGTATGAAGAAGAGTTCAGCATCAGGATTGGAGGAATATTAATTAATAACCTGCAGTATGTAGATCACAAGCTTTCCTTGATGCAAGAGAAGAGGATTTAAAATATTTATTGATGGAGCTTCATGACAATATCCTTCAGTATGGTTTGTGCTTCAACATAAAAGTGTGTGTGTATGT